AGTATGGGACTGGAAGTACGGTCTTAGTTTTCTTGCCGACATGACTACGGCTAGCGCCAGTTTTTCCATCATCGGATATGGTGTTTCTGCGTCCAGCAGCGTTTTACTTACGTAAAAGATCGGTTTTTGTTTGCCGCGTTCTTCTCGTATGAGGAAGAGCGGCTGCTGATACTGAGATGTAGAGAAATAATGGTTCTCCTTCTACGGGTTTTGCGAGTACTGGCGGGGTAGCTAGGTAATGCTTTAGCTGTTGGAAAGCATTTTTGCATTCTTCTGACAACTCGAACTTTTTGTTTCCTTTTAATGTTTCGTAAAATGGAAGGCGTTTTTCCGTTGACCGCGAGATAAAGTGGTTAAGTGCTGCGACCCTACCGATTAATCTTTGTAGTTCGTGTTTCGTCTTAGGGGATACCATTTCTATCAACGCCGTAATTTGTTTCGGGTTGGCTTCGATCCCTCGGTAAGTGACGAGATATCCTAAGAATTCTCCGGATGCGACGGCAAACCGACACTTCGCAGGATTCAACTTCATGTTATGAAGTTTGAGTCTCTCGAAACATTCTTGGAGGTGCGCGACATGATCTTGCTCTTCGAGTGATTTTACGAGCATGTCGTCGATGTACACTTCCATTGTTTTTCTGAGTTGTTCGGCGAACATGCGATTGAGGAGTCGTTGGTAAGTCGCGCCGGCATTCCTAAGGCCGAATGGCATTACTATATAGCAGTAGGTTCCGCGATCAGCTATGAACGCGGTTTTTTCTCGATCGTCAGGATTCATCATGATCTGATTGTACCCTGAAAAAGCGTCCATGAAAGATGAGAGTTTGTTCCCTGCGGTTGCCTCGACCAGGCGATCGATGTGTTGCAGCGGATAACTATCTTTCGGAAATGCTTTATTGAGATCGGTGAAATCAACGCAAACTCGCCACTTTCTGTTCTTTTTCTTAACGACGACATGATTTGCGAGCCAGTTGGGAGATCGGACTTCTGTGATCGATCCGACTTTGAGGAGTCTGTCGACTTCAATGTTGACTGCCTCGGCGCGTTCCGGCCCCAGTTTCCGTCTTTTTTGTTTGACGGGTTTGGATGTTGGGTCAACATTGAGTTCGTGACATGTGATGTTAATGTCGATTCCTAGCATAACCTCCGCAGTCCATGAGAACATGTTCGAGTTTCATTTCAGACATGTCAGGATTTCGGCTTTTAAGGTCTCGCTCAGGTTCGCACCAATTTCGACGCAGTGTTCTGGGAATGCTTCATCGTTGTACACCGAGATGACAAGCTCGCAGGTTGGCTCGCATTTTCCTTCCAATGCCTCGGCTACTCGCAACTGCCAGAAGATTTCTGTTTGATCTTTCTCTGGCGCGTTGTCGAGGGCAGACGATTTCTTTTTTTTTTTTGGAAGAAGCGTCAGTCGGCAGATTTTTCCGTTTTAAATCCGCGAGATAGCAAACCTGCGAGGTTCTCCGATTTCCCCATATTGTCTCGATTCCGCACTGAGTCGGAAATTTAAGACACATATGATACGTCGATGGAACCGCTCACATCGCGTTTAACCACGGTGTCCCTACGATTGCGTTGTAGGACATGGGTCAATCGACAACTTGGAATTCGACGATTTTTGCTATGCTTCCGGCGCGAACCGTAAGATTGATTGTGCCGAGAGTCATAGTGATTTCTCCCGAGAGTCCTACTAGCGGGCTTGCGTTTTCCGCGATTCCGGACAGATCGATTTTCATTCTCTCGAGAGTGTTTTCGAAGATGATATCAGCCAAGCTTCCGGTATCGACAAATATCCTTGCGACATCCATATTCTGGATCCTCAGCTCGATGACAAGAAGCTCGTTGAGAGGTTTGATTGAATCGATCGTTGATCTTTCCTTGAACGAGATAACGTCGCCGTTTAAGTTAGGCATATCTGTTTGTTTCAGCGATTATGTGTAAGAGAATCCGACCCCCCCCCACCTTCTAGCGCCAAACTGTGGGAACCAAAATTCACACCGTCGATTTTCCGTCAATTATGGAAACTTAGGGAGAACCCTAATTCTCCCGAGGTCCTGGATCTCTGCGGAAATCACTAAAACGTACGAAGTTAACAGAATATAGATGAACAAGAATAACGACGAACAGAATACAGATAAAGAATTTGCGTAAGAGCTTTTATTGAATAAGAGATTGAATGCTGTTACAAAGAGAATCGCGGAACTTAGACGTCAAAACGTTCTAAGGATCCGACTTGCTAGTCTAAACACCTAAGTCCTAAACTCGCCTAAGCTAACACCCACCTCCCTAGGTTTATTTTTTTTCCCCTCGCTTATGTCCTCTGTCTCTTGCTTGTATACTCCCTTCCTTGGCGGTTTGGTCCTTCCATTTCGCCCAGATTCGAGTTTATCGTGAATCTTCCATTTATTTCGATCTTTCTTTTTTTCCTCCGGAAAACTTATGTTTATTTTCAAACTTGACATTTATCATCAAATTTGACATTTATCTTCTTTCTGCGAGTAAATCATCAAAACGTCGTCGTATCTTCGGGTTAGACTTCGTAAAAGCTATCTTCGCAAGATAGCTTTTATCGCGTTTTTAGGTCTTTTCGAGCCGTTTTGCGGTAAAACCGTTTTACGACTTTATACGAGATCATTTCCTGACGCAATGTCATTTTTAAATAAGTTTCTCGAGTTAATCGTANCTTCGGGTTAGACTTCGTAAAAGCTATCTTCGCAAGATAGCTTTTATCGCGTTTTTAGGTCTTTTCGAGCCGTTTTGCGGTAAAACCGTTTTACGACTTTATACGAGATCATTTCCTGACGCAATGTCATTTTTAAATAAGTTTCTCGAGTTAATCGTAAAATTTGGCAATGTTTGATGTTTCGGTTAATCGTTGCCGCTTTCTATGATTCACTCGAAGTTTTATTAAAAACGCGTTTTTTACAATTTCTCACGAAAAATCTCGAGTAAATCGTATAGTTTAGGAAAATGTTTGGTGTTTTGTTTAACCGTTTCCGTTTTATACGATTTCCTTTCTTTCGAGAAAACGATAGGACGGATCAAGACGAATCGAGAGATATTTCGACCGTGGTTCGGAACATATGGTCATGTCGAAGGATGTATGCCTTAAATCGAGGACGTGGGAGATCGAGGTTCGGGATAATTAGCTCGACGTATGACGGACCGAACCAGACCGGTTCAGCTTGCCGTACGGCGAGCTAGTCTTGGTCGAGATAGTTCCCTGTACGACGAGCTAGCTTTGGTCGAGATAGCTCGCAGTACGGCGAGCTAGCTTGCAGTACGGCGAGCTAGCTCGAGGCCACTTAGCTCGCCGTACGGCGAGCTAGTTCGGCCGAACCAGCTCGCGGTTTGCGGCGGATGCGGTTTTTACCGGTTTTGTACTTAACTCGGATGATCGTGTAATCGGCGTTTGTTTCATTCTTTCGAGATAACGATTTCCGAGTTTTCCGCGGATTTCCTTTGTTCGGAAATTTATTAGAATTTTATATAACAATTTCTCGAGTTTTATAAAACGGCTTCTCGAGTTTTATAAAACGGCTTCTCAAATTTTATAAACGACTTCTCGAGGTTTAACAGAAATTATCGTAGACGTTGATTTTGAGATTACTGTTTTTGACACCAACACACGCCTTAATATTTTCACCTGATTTTTTTCCAACTCTCTTGGACCAATCTCAATTCTCAAAAGATCACCTTTTATCTCCCAGTCTGCATACTTCCAGCTGCAAGCATAGTTGTCTTGTTCATCTACTATAGCACGGACTCCAGCATCTTGCAAGATAGTTTTAACAACTTTACATTCTTGAAAGATCCTTTTGGTATCATCACCTTTGAAAGGAACATGCATCACAATCACTTGATGACATGCCACTTTTGGAAGTATCACCAAGCCTTTGTAGAAATGCACAAATTGGCCAGCTTTCAAATATGGAATCTTCTCTAAATCTGTGTAATGAGTACTCCATCTTCCTTTACGGAAAAAAACAAGCCATATCCAAGTAACATGCTTCTTGTATGCTATGAACAACGTCAATACTCTCTCTTCCTTTACTAAACCAATCATAGCTTGCCATGCTTCCTAGGCCTGGTTCTAAACACACCTAGTCACCAAGTTCACAAACTGATAGCAGTTCTGCATCTTCAAGTGAAACCTTCCTCAATGTCTGTCTACCAGTCACATGTGCACTCGTAGTCCCATCTATGTTGATTCTCATTAATTTACCAATAGTTGTTGGTGTCTCGTTTGACCATCAAAGTCGTGGTTGGGTGATAGCTAGTATCATATGAATCTCTTGCCCATAATGAAACGGCACAACCTTTTCAATATCTGTCACCGAACATGAAAATAGCTTGCTCCTGAAACAGACAGCTATGACCACATCACCATCTTCATCTAAGTCGTGCATCCAGCTCTGAATAGGAGAAATCGTCTTGTATCCAGCTCTCTCCACAGCTTTCAAAAAAACAGAAGTTAGCTTGCTCTCTTCCCAGCTCCTCATCGAATGAGAAAGCCTAGACCCTTTGTAAGAGATATTAAAATCTTCTCTGAAGGTTTCGCCTATCTCCTCCAATCTCGTATCGCTTCAATGTCTAACAACCCTCATGTTTCAGGAAAAGCACTCGTCTGCGGCTTCCTCTCGCACCTTCTGAGCGGCTGCCTCCTCTGGCCTCTCCATCACACTGTCTTTTTGTGAATCTCGTCTCGTGTCTCTCTTTCGTGAATAGTAGTGTTGAGTGTTGTGTCTCTGACCTGAACTGGAGGACTATACTCAAGAAACAGAAGACAGGCTAGGCATACATATCTGCATAATAGTTCATCTTCTTTCATCTGCTCGCTTGAATACAACAATGTTTCTTGTCAAGAAACATGCTCGAATCTCACATCAGTCAGAAGATTTTTCACTCTCAAGTCTTCTATTTTCTTCATTATTTCAGTTTGAGCTCTCAGCTGTTCTCCTACCTGTAAACACTCTTCCACCTTAACCAAACCATGTTCAGCTATCAATAGTTTTTTTCTGAGAAGAGACAAGTTTCTTTTCCACCTTCTTGACAAGATTATCATGCCTCAGTTTCTCAACCTTGTGTTTCACTTCTTCTGCATGGTGACCTCTTATCAGATCTTTTATTTCGTTGTAAGTTCTAAAAGAAAAACTGACTCCATTGGAAGAACCATCTTTCTTTTCTAATTCTCTGTGCAGCTTTCCCCACTCTCTCTCAATGTTACTAATTAAACATACAGGGTAGCAAGAGGGGTGACAGCACCTATAGTTGATGAAGTGATGATCCCACGAAGCACTTCCATCAATAGCTTCGAACTTGTTAAATCTCTTGAGATTTAAATCTACTCTGTCTCCCAACTCCATGATCTCATTCTTAAAGATGTCAACTACAAAGTAGCTGTTTTGCTGAAACAAACTATGGCGCCAACTTTTTCTTCTACTGGTTTCGGTTTAGACTCTGAGTCACCTTCTTTCCTTTCTCTAGTATAAACTGTTCTAGCATGTCTCCTATTAGACCTATAGCGTTCTTTTGTCTTGACTTTGTATAACTTTCACCAGGACTAATACTATTGCTCTGTAATTTTTTCTTCTCTTGTCCACAAGCCAACCAAATCCCATCTATAAGATTCAATAACCCAGAGAGTGTAACTACATACTTCTTCTTCTCTCTCTTGATCTCTGCATTGCTCTGATCTCCTTTATCTTCCCTTTCTATCGTGGGGTCCAAGGGACATTGTATATCCTCTAGATCAATGATGAATTTACTAACCGTCGCTAGCAACATCTTCCTGAGTTCCCAGTTTTTGTTATCGAAGTTAGCTCAAGATAATAGCTACTATAACTCATTAAATTCCCCATATCTGCTATCTTGCCTGTCCCTGAAGGTTCATACAAAAGGTAACTCCTCTTCGAAGCTTCCTCTGTCCTTTTATAATACTCTTCACCGTCTGTAAGCACTACAAGATCTCTCATAATCACATCCTTCTTCTTAGGGTCCATGGCCTTTATGTCAACTTTTAAAACAAACTCAAATTCACTACTACTCCATAGATTTATCGTATGCATCTTCTAGTCAGAATTAGAGTTGTTTATCAAGTGCTTAACCTTCTTCAAGTCAGCCTTTGGATCCTCCTTTTGTATATTCTCATTGTTTTCATTCCTTTTCTTATTAGGTTTCTGCGCTGTATTTCCTAGATCACAATCATCAACAAATTTAATCTTTTCCATGTCTCTCTTAGCACCATCATCATCACTGTTGAAGAATAATGTCTCATGTTCCTTCATTAACTTTGGAGTTTTCAGTGTTTACTATCTCTTCTTCTTCTTCTTCTTCTTCTTCTTCTTCTTCTTCTTCTTCTTCTTCTTCTTCTTCTTCTTCTTCTTCTTCTTCTTCTTCTTCTTCTTCTTCTTCTTCTTCTTCTTCTTCTTCTTCTTCTTCTTCTTCTTCTTCTTCTTCTTCTTCTTCTTCTTCTTCTTCTTCTTCTTCTTCTTCTTCTTCTTCTTCTTCTTCTTCTTCTTCTTCTTCTTCTTCTTCTTCTTCTTCTTCTTCTTCTTCTTCTTCTTCTTCTTCTTCTTCTTCTTCTTCTTCTTCTTCTTCTTCTTCTTCTTCTTCTTCTTCTTCTTCTTCTTCTTCTTCTTCTTCTTCTTCTTTCCACCATCATCACCAAATTCAGAATCATGTTTGTCAACGCTTGTTTTCTTCTTCCATATATGTCGGCACGACACCACCATCATCCTATCTTCTTGGAGCTCGTTTCCTTGTACGTACTTTCGGTGCAAAGTAGTACGATATGAAATGTGATGTTTCTTCCGTCAAACTTCCCGCAACAATAGAACCTTCAAGTTTTGCTAGGTTTTTGGATTTTCCTTTCAAAGTTTTCATGGCCCTTTCATACTGATACATCTATCCATAATGCACAGGTCCACGAAGTAATGCCTCATACGGGAGGTGGACAACTAGGTGTTCCATGACGTCAAAAAAAGTTGGCGGATATAGTTTCTCCAAGTTTCACGTTAAGATGAGGATGTTTTCATGAAGTTGTTGGACAACTTTCTCTTTAAGAGTGGGTACTCAGATCCCTAAAAAATGTTCCAATTCCTTATATATTACAAAAACAAAATTAAACACATTAGTATATTCATATATATATATATGTATATAAAGAAATAAATTAATGTTTGCGTCGTATTATATAATTACCTGAAAGTGCTTCATGTACTTTTGCAGGTAGTAGCTCCGCAAATGCAAAGGGAAGTATTCGCTGCATAAAGACATGACAATCATGGCTCTTCATCCCGGAGAACTTTTGCCCTATCTCAACACATCTTGAGAGATTTGAAACATACACATCAGGGAACTTGACTTCTGAAGCCACCCAGTTGAACAACGCAGACTTTTTTCTGATGACAGTCTTAATATCGGAACTGGAACTTGCCCATTGCTTTTTATATGTAGCTACTTCTTGAGCAGATATCGGGTAAGTCCAACCTCGATTTTACGTTGTCTTTCGTCTTCTCTGGGACATTCAATATAGTGTTCACGATGTTCCTAAAAAAAATTCTTCTCTATATGCATCGCATCGAGGTTGTGGTGTAAAAGAAGATCTTTCCAATATGGAAATTCCCAAAATATACTCTTCTTGTGCCAATTGTGCTGAACACCATAAGAATCAGACATATTACTGGGAACATGCCAATTCCCACCACGAGGAGATGTTTCTAGAGCACCATAGTAATCGATTTGTGCTTCGATTTGTCCTCCAGTTAAATATGGAGGAAGAGTGTCTCTGGAAACCCTTTTGTGCCTGAACAATGTATTGTTTCTTCGGTATGGGGGTAAACGGGAAGAAATCGATGGTGACAATCGAACCAACTAGTGTTCCTACCATTCTTTAACTGAAACGCATCTGTCATTCCACTAGAATATGGACAAGCTAATCTCCCATGTGTAGTCCATCCAGACAACATCCCATATGCAGGAAAGTCACTTATGGTCCACAAAAGCATCGCTCGCATCGCAAAATTTGTTTTCGTTGACCAATCATATGTCCTCACCCCCTGTTGACCACAAATCTTTCAACTCTTTTATCAGTGGTTGTAGAAAAACATCGAGAGATCTTTTTGGATGCTTTGGACCAGGTATTAATATGGTCAAGAATAGAAACTCTCGTCGCATGCACATCTCCGGTGGCAGGTTGTACGGTGTAAGAAGACTGACCACAATGAATATTGTCTCCCTGACATTCCAAATGGACTAAACCCATCAGTGCATAATCCAAGATACACATTCCGGCTATTGCTAGCGAAATGTGGATGTACTTTGTTAAAATGTTTCCAAGATCTTGCATCTGATGGGTGAGTCATCTCTCCATCCGTCTGAGTATGCTCGGCATGTCATCTCATCCCTCCAGCAGTCTCCTCAGATTGGTACAACCTTTTCAATCTGTCTGTGATTGGTAGGTACCACATTCTTTGGTACGGTACCCTATTACGCCCTCGACCTTGCGGTTTGAATCATGGCTTCTTACAAAATCGACATTCTTCTAACTTCTCATCATCTCCCTAATAAATCATGCAGTTGTCGATGCAAATGTCTCATCTCCGAGGGTAACCCAAGACTATATACCAATTTCTGAATCTCATAATAAGATTCAGCAGACACATTGTCTTCTGGCAAATACTCTTTAAACAAGTCTGTCCATGCATCCATACAATTTTCAGGTAGATTGTGATCGGTTTTAATACTCATCATTCTAGCAGCCAACGAAAATTTAGACAGGCCTTCTCTACAACCACTGTAAATTGGCTCATTCGCAGCTTCTAACATTTCATAAAACTTTTTTGCATCTAAGTTAGGTTCTTCAACTTCATCATCATCATGAGTTACAAATGCATCACCTACCACATCATGAACCCTATCACAATCTACCATTTTTTCCTCCTGGTGATAGCTATTTTCATTATGCAAATGATCGGTTCAACTTGAAAATTGCTATTACTACTACGAGGTTCATTCCTACAACTAGCATCTTCTTCATGTTGATACCAAATATAATAATATGGCATGAAACCTCTATTTATTAAATGCTTCCAAATATTTTCACAAGGGTCTAATTTTGTATTGCAGCATTTTCGATAAGGACAGAACATCTTACCACTTTCCTGCGTGACTGGTGTAGAATCTGCTTGATGCATAAATGTCTCCAACCATTCGAGAATTTTTTTCGTCACTCTCCCATTATTATCTCTGTGTGAATACATCCACTTCCGCAACTCGAAAATATCTCTAGGACCAGACATTTTTTTTTCTTTGATCAAGCTTAAAGCTGATTTCTTTTTTTTTGTGTGTGTTTGAAAAGAATCACAAATGGTGGTATTTATAGAAATTTTCGAATCTGAACATTTACTAGGAAATTGCGAGGAAAGGTATGAACAAAACACGTTTTTAGATTTAAAATAGATATTTTTTAGCTAGTTCCTAGCTAATTAGAAGTAAAAGAACATGTCCTCTAATTTCGTAGTAATGTTTTTCGTGGACTTTACGAGAAAAATATTTACTACGAAATTATGAAGAATGTTCTTTTGCCACGTAGTTTCCTCGTAATTTTACTACGGCCTTACGAGGAAACATTTATCTCGTTTGTTTACGTTGAACTTACTTTGCTTCTAGTTTTCCTTGTAAAACAGAAGTAATTTCGTAGTAAATTTACGAGAAAAGATTTTCCTAGGAAAATTCCCTAGTAAATGCGGAGTTTTCTTGTAGTGGAAGCAGGTGGTTGTTCACTCTAGTCTCTGCGGCTTGTGAGCTGAGTCGATGCTTTCAACCTGAAACAAATAAGTGGATATGTTATTTCAGATCATTGCCGTTGAGGATGTTACTTGAAAAAAGCTTAGCTTACCCATAAATGAGTTGTCACAGCCACTTCTCCGTATTTGGAGACATCATGAAGGTACGGTGGGGAGTGAAATTATAGCGTGTCACTACAATCTTAAAGAGACATACCATGACAGTAAGCTTATCAAGGCATCTTGGTAGCTCCGACAATCCACAGCCGTTACCATGTCATACATTGAAAATCTGTTTGTTAAATAAATAATACTAACAAAAACGTATGATGAATGAAGTGCGCTTGTGGTAGAAAACCACCTCAAGAGATAGTAAGCTGCTTATATCTTAGTAAGTTTCTTCATCTCTGTGTCAAATACAACACATGTGGCACTGTCTTCGCCATTGCCAACATCTACTTCAACATGGTACCTGAGAAATGGTGTGCTAAGTTGGATTTGTGAGTCAAAGGTGGATATTGTTATCGCTTACATTAAGTATGACTAAAAGGAACCTGATAGCACCTGTCACATTTGGTGATACACATCTATTGCAACGAAGCGAAGTCCCTAACTTGTTTAACTTTCTGCTGCAACCGGTGCAAGAGACATAAGATCACCCATTTTTCTGGAGCACACACTACACAAGAAATGAGCTTCCTGGGACTTCAAAAAGGCAATGGAGAAGGCATCAAACAGCACATGATAAATTGATATAGTGGTTGTAAGAAAATGATGATAGAATTCAGAGCATTGAATCTCTTATATTGTCTCTACACGTGGGAAAATCTATCTAGCTAACCTCCCAGGCTGCGAAGAGTAACTCAGATATCGTATATCATAAGTTAGATTTCCTTTGTAACCCTCACCTATTTATAGGGTTTCTGGTGTTTGTGGGTTATCAAAAGCTTTGATAGCAAAGCGAAAAAACAGAGAAAGAGGACACTACAAAAAAAATACAGTTATTGTTACGAAACTTTATGACAAAATTTATTCGTCACAAATCTGTGACATTTTGAAGACGATAGGTTACTAAGAATTTTATGTCACAAACTCGTAATTGTTTTGTCACAATATTGTGACGTCCTAAGTAGTAATCAATTTTTGTCACAACTAGTTACCTAAGAGTGACGATAATAAACAATGTATTAGCCGTGACATATTTGTGACTATATTTCTGGTTGTCTTTGTGACGAAGTTGTGATGGAATGGTGATATCATATTGTGACAAAAAGACTAAATAATTGTGACGAACTGGTATACAATTATAACTGGATTTTTTTAACAAGTATGAATAAAGAATATCTTAAGTATCTTTTTTTGTTAAGTATATCTTAAATATTTTACAATTTTCTTAAACTAAAAAAGTTTTAACATAGTCGTGATTATAGATTTATAGTGTATTCAAAAAGACATTTTCTGTAGGATTACAATCGAAGTGATTGACTACAATCTATTCAGAAAGGCGTTTGCCATAGGCTTACAATTTTAGGGCCCCAAAATTGTGAAGGCATGGTGTATCCAAGTGCTTACTGTTCTCAACATTGAATGTTTGTGTGTTCAAGTTGGTTTTGTGGTTATAAATAGTTTTCATGGGTTATATTTTCTATAACAGAAATTAAAAATCTAACTATATTTTTTTTTTGTCAGCCAAATCTTAACTACATATACATCAGTTCTTCATCGAACTATATCCTTTAAAAGTTATAGAGTTTAGTCTTTTTATTGGATCAATAAACAGAAAATATATAATGTATAGTATATTTCAATCATGATACATGTAAGAGAGGAATAAACAAAAATTTGGGTTTCACTACCATGTAACGTGAAAGTGAAAATATGCTGATATGCAGTTAACACTACAAATTATTGTTCTAACCAAAGTTAGTGTTGACTCTTTGCTAATTTGTTTGAGAAGAGAATATTCATTGTTCATGTTATAATATATATATTTAATTAAATGATAAGTATGAACAACCTAGAATTATGAATAATAGCGGCAATCAAGTGACTGAAACTATTGATATTAAGCTAAAGGAATCAGTTTTCACTTATTATTATGAAGATGTATGCAGGTGTTTTTTAAGAAAAAAAATCTACGCAGATTTAAAAAGAAAATATAATTAGCTAAAGAAAGAGGAAAGAAAACCAAAACAAACCAAATTATTTTCAAAACTTAATAAGAGAATCAAGAATCCCGGTAAAAGATGATTTTAAATTGGGTTGTTGCCATTATCAATCTAATACCCTAATATTTCAACTAATACACCGTATACAAATAAATAAAGCACTAACTCTCCTACACTTCAATGGGAAGGTCAATATCCTCTCTTTCAGTTTTACTCTAAAAACTCTTCTCACGCGAACTTGAAGCCGTCTCTCAATTTTTGATAACTTTTCAGGATTACAAAGAGTACTTCACATGTGACTAATCTTCTATTCTAGGTTTACTTTTTCGCACTCAATTATTTAAACAGCTTATTGTTCTGAAAGTCAAAACGATTTCATACTTTTGGATTTTTCTTTTCATATGCTACCTTTCTTTGGTTATTCATCCTTTTCAATTTTTTGTTTGTCACTTGTAGATGCGGCTTTTGGAGATGGTGATAATGACAATAAGGGCTACGCATATCGTCGTTAATGAGATCAGGATCTTGTAATACACAACAATTACTATTGACAAGGGAACTATGGAGATAACAAGACATGTTTTGATGAATCTCTACAATTGTTTTCATCCGCTTTTGGGATCTCCTTCTTTGTTTAGTTTGTTTTTTCTGCAATGATTTTAGTCCTTTTTGTTGATATATATGATGATTAATCTATTGTATTATGATGTACGTTTCTATGTATGTTGATTTTATATTTCTGAAAACTTTCATAGATAATAAAAAAATAGCTAAAATGTTGGGAGACTCTAAACTATTTTCATTATTACGCTTATTTAGCTAACAGAAAAGGCTAAGAATATATGTGAGCTATGACCATACTTAAGTACAAAATAATAGCATTTTATAGACGAATTAGTAGTTGTTTAAGACAAAAATGTGACTGGAGTTTAGTAATAACCAAAATTTTAATAGTCAAATAATTTGACGGATGTGAGTGTAATGTACGGATTTGTGATGACCTTGTAGTCTCTATTTGTGACAATATGTTACTAACATTTCGTTGTAATCAGCTACAGACCCAGGACATTCTAATCGTCACCAAAGGAGACAATTTTAGACGATGTTTTCATCAATAATTGTAACGGTATTGTTACTTTTAATTTTTGTCACTGTTGCTAACAAACTAGTTACAAAATTATTTTGTCACAAGTTATGACGTTTTTTGTTACGATGATAATTTGTGATGTCATTATTGTAACCATTCATAACTTGTCACAATTCTGTCTAAATAACTATATTGCTACGAAATTGTATTCATTATTTTCTTGTAGTGGGAGAAGATGGATAGATAAGAGAGATAGAGAGTTAAGTGGAGTACATATTTTGCAGCGTTCTAAACTGTGACGATATCATCGGTAATAGAGACTAATTTACCTAATCCTCCAACATTAAACGTGAAGTTTTCTTTATTTTGGGGTTTCCAGTCCACTATCATTAGTTCATAAAATTTCATTTTAGCATTATTATGTACAAGGTTTTATAATAGGCAGTTAAACCCAACGATAATATACATTCAATTCGATTAATGTTAGAATAAAAACTATTTATGTGGATCCCACTAAATTAAGGGAGAGGTGATGATATGGACATCATGTATGAGAATAATGTTTTATTATAAGCCTATGTGCAATGAAGCTGTTGAATCAATTTTTCAATTGTTTAATAACTGCAATGGAGCTGTTGAAAACCAAGAAAAAAATGTGGAGTTTTGGGAGCCACACAAATAGCAATGTTATGATTAGAACAAAATAGAGTGAAGGTTAACTTTTTATCCCAAGAAAAAGAAAAAGAAAACAAATGATTGGTACAAGTGTATGTGTTTAATTGGTTAGTAGAATTTTTAGGACTTTTATTTCACCCCAAGCATTTAAAATCAATTATCTTATACCAATTTTTTTTTTAATTTTAACAAAAATTTTATTTTTGTGCTTTATAAAAAGAGACTTGGTTTATTAAATTTGGACATAAAAATTGAATTTTACAAGAATATTATCATTACTCTGTAAAAAATATTAAGTATATCTAATAAAGTTTTAAGTGAATGAAAATAATAATCAAAATATTATTTTTATTTTAAGCAAAATATGGAATAAATTAAAGTGTTGAAATATATTCAACAAAACTAATGTAGAGGTAAAAATTGATGGATGTGTTGAATTAATAAGTGGAAGAAAGAGAAGATGAGGTAGAATGATAAAAAGGGTGAAATAGGTTCTTGAATAATGTTCACCATTGTACCTGGTCTAATAAACTTTAAAAGTTTAACAAAAATAGTTGTAGGTGATATTAATTTTAGAGAAATAGAAAAAAAGGCTTGTCAAAAAGATAATACAAGTTTCACACTAAGACATTATTAGACACGAGACAAAACGACAAAATTACTTTAGTCAGAGAGAAGAAAGAAACTGACCGGCGTTTCTCATTGTCCTGCGCAGCCTTTTTCCTTTTCTCTCAAGACGACCACCACCACGAGGATCATCATCCTTTTCTTCTTCTTCCTTCATCATCCATAATAATTAAAAGCCTCCTTCTCCTTTTCTTTTCAATGGACTAAATTATTTTTTCTCTTTCCTCCTTTGATGCCATCCCCTTTTTTTTTCTTCTTCTAATTGCTTTTTGCGTAGGTGAGAGATCTTTTTAACTTTTCTTTTTATCTGTTATTTATCTTATTCCGTTTGATCACGAATTAATATTTCATGGGTCTTTTGCCCTCTTTGGTTCTATTGTGATTTCAGCTTCCGATCTAATTTTAGGGGTTTCAGAGGGTTTAGAATTTCAGAATGGATCTAAGTTTTTGTCCTTTGTTTTCTTCTATGTCCTAATCAAACACTTGCAAAAAGGTTAAAGTTTTTCTTTTATTTTAAAAACAAAAATTGCTTCCGATTTAATTGCAATGGAATGGAATGGATACGCCATCACTGTCTTGGGAACAATATTTCCTCAAACTCGAGTTATCTTCCCTTGTCAGAAACTATCTTGTTTGACTCAAAATGGACCTTGTAAACAAAGGAAAAAAAACATGTTTCTTTTATCTGTTAAAGTAATCGTCTGTTATAAAGCTTCTACTGTTAGCGCTTTAAGATGCTTAAGCTGATGCACTGTAAGTAACTGATACTGTGCTCATATCTTGCAGTGAGTTTAGTTATGGCCAAGAATGAAGAAGGAACTAGTAGTCCGAGCTGGGGAGCTTCTTTTTTCATGCCAACATCAGAAGATGTTGCGACCGCTTTTGCTGCTGCCGCCTCTGCCATAAACCCTCCAAGGCCTTCTGTTGTCTTTTCTTCCAAAGATGAAAGCGGTGATAGCCCTCTCGAGAGACTGCAGAGACAGGTCTCCAAAGCGGTTAGAAACTTTTATGAAACTCCTAAAACGAAAAGTACAGTGTACAATCCTGAGGTTTTGACCAGCCAGAAGCGTCAGTGGGCGAAATATCATGTCCAATATTTGGTACGTGTTGGACCAATCTCTTGAATGAAGAAGCAAACTAAATTTCACCTTAGACAAGTTTTGTCCCTAACTTATCTCAAACAGGATCATAAACCATTAAAGGATCCCTCAAGGCTTTTTGAAAGTGTTGTCGTGGTTGGACTTCATCCTAATTGTGATATTCAAGCACTTGAAAGCCAGTACATTGCACGTAAATCCGAAAGCTCTACCGGTAGATTTCGAAGTGCACTTCAAGCCTCTCAAAATCATTCCCGTGTAGAACCCACTCTCGAACCTCAGGTGGGATATCAATTTTTTTCTTGTATTTTTTTCTCATCTGCAAGCTGATAAGTATACACCTTTATTTCCAGGTCTTACTGGTGTACCCTCCGGACAAGGAACCTCCAATTAAATATAAGGATCTTAATTCATTCTGCTTCCCTGGAGGCATTGAGGTACTTTATTCAGTTTCCTTGGTTGCTCTTTAAGCCTAAACTGGTTTAGAATGCATATGCTAACTTTCTAGGAAAAAGTTTTTTCACCGTTCTGAGCTGAGATGTCCTCATAATGCATCGCCTAGTATAGGCAAATACTTTTTTTTCTTTAACTTTTGCTAATTTCGAAATAATGGCTAGTACGTTCCAGAGACTCTTGATTTACTCAACTTGAAGCTCTAAAAGTGTTAGTAGTTTCTCGTAATTTTAGTTGCTCTCTCTCTGTGGGGTAATGTTTCTGTGCACTTTACCCTTGATAACTTGTTTACTTTATTTGTGCTGGTGACCAATGGTTTCAGGTCCATGCTGTTGAGAGAACCCCTTCCATGAGCGAGTTGAATGAGATCATTCTCAGTCAGGTATTTTCGTGAACTCTCTGTGGGAATATATTGTGGATTTCGTCATTTTGTTAATCAGTTCGCAAGGCTAAGCTAAACATACACTAATTTTGAAAACGGTGATGCTAAATTTACAGGAACATCTTAGGCCTAGTGACCTTTCATTTGTATTTAGGTTACAGGTAAGAATTATTACGGCTACACTATCTCTCCTTTTGTTTTATACCTTTTTCTATATGGATGTGTCATTTCTGTGATATTTCCACTTCCAGGTTGCTGATAATTCGACTCTATATGGATGTTGCATACTAGTGGAAGAAATAGTGAACAAACCGTCCAGATTGCTTTCCACGGTTTTGGACGAACAACCTGCTTGCTCATCATTAAGTCGCTATGTTATGACAACTCGCAGATGCTATTGCATCCTTACCAGGCTGCCATTTTTTGAATTGCATTTCGGTGTATTAAATAGGTGCTTATGGACGCGCTTCTGAATTAAATTCAGTGTCACGTAAATAGAATTTGTCAATGCACATGTTTGCATCCATCCCATAAAAAGAAACTAATTACTTGTATATTTCTAGAAATGCCTTGATATATATCTTGTGGCTAAATCACTTTTCGCTCACAATGAAACTTCTTTTTGATGTAGCATCTTCTTGGAAGAAAGACTGGAGCATTTGATGAGTGGCATTAGTTGTGCATCTTTAGAACCCCCAACAGATGTCAACTTTGGAGAAGAAAGCTTAAATGACTTAACACTCAGACAAAGAGACACAAAAGAACAATCCGGTGAAGCTGAAGAAATTTCAGATAATGGGACCTGTGATGAGACTCGGAAACTTGAGATAGTTGCAGAAAGGATGGGGATGTGTTTTCCAGAAAGTAACAACCACGTGGCCGATGCAGATGATTCCTCGCCAATTATCAAGCAAGACCGAGAAAGCTGCCTATCAAATCCAGGACCTATTCGTCGATGCGCTTATTTTGATGAGGTCTCTGATTCTAGCTCTAGTCTTTCACCAAACTATGGCTGAAACCTTTCTTATAATGCATTTCTGTTTAGCGAAAATTTCATATGCCTTTAAGAGGGTTTGCATTTATTTATTTGTTTTTTTTATTTGAAACTTTTGCAAAGCAAGTAACTTGCATTTTGCAGCTTTCAGGCTGCGCCTTGCGAGATGAGGCATTTTAGGACCAATGCAAATGACACAGAGACAAATGAAGCATCCTTTTCTGGTCAAAAAGATGCAAGCAGTAATCTTGATATCCTTGAGTGGGCAAAGGTTTGTCGACTTTGAAAGTTTCCTGTGTGTATTATTATTCATGCTCCTAACACTAAGAAGTTGAAAAAAAATCTCTTTCAGTCCAAAAAGAATGGGTCGTTGCAGATTCTATGTGAGTATTACCAATCAAAATGCCCTGGAAGAGGCTCAACTATTACATTTCATCCTTTGGAGCATCTTCATCCAGTCAAATATTATAGACCCGACGAAGCAACTTTGCATACTCCCGGATCAGCAATTGACCTAAGATCCTGCAGCACTAGTCTGGAATTCGCAGAGGTACCAACCCAATTGTATCTGACAGCATTCATATCGTTTTTATTTTCTGCATGAAAACCTACACAAACTCGTATGTTCCTTGGTCTACAGGCACACACTGCGCTCATGGCTGAGGAAGAAGCAGCTACACTATCAACATGGGCTGTCGCTTCCCTATGTGGATCACTGCGGCTTGACAACGTGAGTTCTTTTTTTTTCCATACATCATGACCTGCCTGCCTATGTGGTTTCTGTCTGGTGGTCTCGTTCTCATATGGTTTCCGTAATAACTTTGTACCTTAAATTCTGATACTTGTAATTTCTTTGTAGGTTTTGCTTATCTTAGCAGGAGCACTGCTGGAGAAACAGATTGTATTTGTTTGCTCCAACTTGGTAATGAAAATAGTCTGTTGAGTCTACTTTTTTATTTCCGTATAATATTGCATCTTCCTCTTTAATATTTAACTCAGGTTGTTCTGTGTTTTCTGGGGAATACATAGGGAACCTTAGCTGCATCAGTTCTATCGATTATCCCTATAATCCGTCCCTTTCGGTGGCAGAGCCTTTTAATGCCGGTATTAATCCTGTTTTATGTTTGGCAACTTCACTTCCGTAACCCGTGCTTGACTAATATCTGGTCTTGACTTTCCAGGTTTTGCCAGATGAAATGCTGGAGTTTTTGGATGCTCCAGTTCCTTATATTGTGAGTTTGTAAACATGATTCCTTTGTTGTAAGATCCGTATCATATTATATATTGTATGTTGCTTAACAAACAAGCTATTCTCATTCTAGGTTGGGGTAAAGAACAAAACAAGCGAAGTTCAGTCGAAACTAACAAATGTTATCGTCGTGGATGTTATTAAGAACCAGGTCAGTTTCTGCCTTTGCCCTTATCATCTTCTTAGCATTCATACTTTTGGTAGCAAAGCTCCACATATACCGAGTCCCTTCTGCATATGATTTATTGATAGAGCTACTTCTATTTTCCTTGGCCTCTCCTATGAATAATGTACCTATAACTAGGATGTTCTTCGTGATCTATGTTTCTAATTACGTTTCAGGTTAAGTCACCAAGTGTTCCTCAGCTGCCTCAGTATCGTGACTTATATAATGCGCTGAGTCCTTATCACTCGAAGCTCGTTGGAGAGAGCTATCTCGCAAAGAAAAGACCAGTATATGAATGTACTGATGTGCAGGTCTCTCTCTCTCTCTCTTTGGTTTAGACGTTCAGCGTACTATTTCTAACAACTTGTCTATATATTATCAAAAGGTGGAAGCTGCAAAAGGCTTCCTGGATGTCCTAAGGTTGTACCTGGATTCACTTTGCTCTAATCTGCAGTCTCACACTATAACAAATGTGCAATCCAACAATGATAAGGTTTGTTTTTTCATTAAAAAGATTTCAAGCCGTTTTTCCATTGTCCCATTCCACAGTCTTGAGAGAAAATATGTTTTGCTATCTGTCAGGTATCACTTCTTCTAAAGGAAAGTTTCATTGACTCGTTTCCTACTCGTCATCGCCCGTTCATGAAGGTAAGATCCCCTCAGTTTTACTTTGTACAAAGAGTTTGGTGAAGTCTGGACTTTGCTAATTGTATGGCTTTGATATTGTGATGGGAACAGCTATTCTTGGATACACAACTCTTCTCTGTACATACAGATCTTGTTCTTTCCTTTATCCAGAAGCTATAAGAATCTCTACATGTATAATTAAAAGCATGTCTTGTTGGTGAGATAAGTGCCATCAATTCTGTGTTATTTGTAACTTGTTTGACAAGTGTATATGGGAGAAAAGACTTCCCTATACGAGGATTTGACTCTTAATAGTAAACAAAAGTTTTATTTGTGCTACTATGTGTTTTCACGGGAGTTATTAATATGTGTCTGATGTATTCTGGGCGTTGTCTTATTTTTTGAGTGAATTTGCCCAAAATCCTATAAGAAGTGTATAATTAGGTGAATGCACAATTCAAGTTTTTGTGGGGATTGGATTTTGGACAGAATTACCAAACTAACCTCTTGACATTTTATTGTCTAGAAAAAAAGAGTAGGGACGAAAGAAGCAGTAGGCAATAGTACCCTAAACAAGTTTTATTTTTAATTGGGGGGTTAGTAATGATTGAACTTTTCACCCTAATACTACGTGTGTCTGTTCGTGCATAACGAACCAGTAGAAACACAGGAAAATCTGACACCGAAGCTGCATGTCTGGGAAGATGAAACGAAAAGTTTTTGGGTTGCATGCGAAAAGTAAGATTTCTGAGGGGTGTTTGGAAAAGATGTACGTCGTTCGCCTATAAAAGGAAGCTTGACGATGAGTTTTCACTCACACTTCAACAAAGAAACATCAAAGGTGATTATTCCTGACAGAAGAACCGAAGTTGTTTTCTCTGTCGTTGGAATGTTCTAACGAGCTCCATTAAATCTGTTTCATTCTGTTTTTTTGGATCTGTTGTCTTTAAATTGTCTGTCATTAATTTGTTGTCTTGTACGATTTTAAGGAAGTGTATTAAACCTGCATTTATTTCGAGTCATTTGTTTTGATTCATTGAAGAATTAAGACGGGTAGATCTTGTATATTTATGAGTAATCATCACCATCTCGTTCGAGATTTCATTTATTTAGGTTTTTTGTTGTCTCTCTCTTGTTTCTTCCGTACATGCATTAATCGCCTGCTGTGATATCTTCATTTAATTGGATTCTTGGTTGTCTCTCTCTTGTTTCTTCCGTAAATGAGTGTTCAGAAGATAACAGAAATTTTAGGCGACTAAAATGATGCATGTCATTAGATCTTTAATGATTAGTAACATGTAATAACTATTTATTGATTCTAACAAGTTTGTCTACTTTTTACTCAGATGGTGCGATGTGTGCGTTTCTGGCGAGGACAATGGAAGAAAAGTAGTGAAGAAGAGTGGGAGTTCATTAGGCATCCAGACGAAATTGCATATAGGGTGGTTGTCTATGAAACTGTCAGCTACAATGACCTTGACCATCTCGTAAGGCAGCGGTACGGTCTGAGTCCGTATACCCCACTAGTCATTACTCACCGACTTCCTATTGCGTTGCTCGGACCAAGTGGTAACCGGACACCACCGACGACAATCTCGTGCACAGCTGTGTTATCTTGGTTTCTTCATGGCGGAATTTGCGGGATTGAGCTTCCTCTGATGATAACGATGGGTCCCATAGATGTTGCTGAATACGAGTTTAACACTCGTACTAATTTTGCAATAGGGAATATAATGTATGTCTTTGATCACACGGCAAATGATAGCTCACGAGCCGTTTACGAAAGTAAGAACGATTGCTTTCTACATAGTACAATAAGTTTACATGTTAAACTCTCTGGTGGATGTTTATTTTTTTTTTTTACTGGAACAGATTTAGTCTTTGGTAACCGTCATGCACAGACACAAAGAGTGATGCATGCTTTATTTCCAGAGGACAGTTTGCGTCTCTTCCACCGAGTTTCGTTGGAAATGGCTTTCGCAGACAACTATATGGCTAATCAACGTCGCGAGATGGAGAGGTTGAGAGAGATAATCGAGCTGGACGACGATGACACAAAGATGGTTGAAGATGCACAGGGGGGTGGACCAAATGGTATGTGTTAGTTTGGTAAAATTTTGTTATGTAGTATGTTTGTTTTTAATATCCGGTTAACGAAAATGAGTTGATGTTTTGAGTGAAGGTGTCTCTGGTGTTGATACGACAGTGGTTGGTCCTGGTGAAAGTGCACTTGGACGTGCGAGAAATGGTATGTGGCTGATTTATGTTGTTGTGTACGAAATTTTGCTATGGTGAATGTAGGAAATTTCGTTTAGCCGGTTAACAGAAGCGAATATAAAAAAATGAAAAGTTGTGAGTCAATTAGTTTAGCAGGATAACATAAACTGATGTACTGTTTTTTGTTGAAGATGTCACAGGTGTTGATACCAATGTCGTTGAACCCGTTGTAGGTGATCATGGACGTGGGGAAAATGGTATGTGGGTTAATAAGATGGTATTGCTATGTTGTGAGCTATTTTCACATTATAGGAAATTACTGTTAGCCGGCTAACATAAATTGATGTAATGTTGGCATTGTTTTGTTTCAAGGTGGCTCCGGTGAGGATACCACCGTGGCTGGACCTCGTCATCAGGGGGTTGCGCACCCAGTTATGTGGGATGTGGGTATGGACGTGTCAGGCATGCCGGCTCAGAAATCGAGTGACCAACCAACAACCGTAGCGGGTGAGTTAGCCAACTAAGTTTGATTGATTAACATTTTATATTCTTAAACATACATTTAGTCTGATCGGTTAGCTGGATAACCGGGTAATTGGCAAAATTTCGTGTCCGACCACACAGTACAAAACGGGTACACTGCCACTTTGCCCGGAGACGTTGTTGTAGGGGATACACCACAAGTAGGCACAATGACGGAGCAGACACCGACCCAACAACAAGCGGCAATGGATGAAGGAACTCAGCAAACTAGAAATGGTTAGTCGGATAATATAATAGAATTTTGCTTAAACGTGTTATGTTTAGCAAGATAACATAGCTATCTTACTAATTGATATTTTGAATTTTAGAAGGTGCAACGGCCCAAGGAAACCAAGACGTTGGCCAACAAACAGCGCAGCCGACTCCTACGGAGCGCATTACTAGTGAAATGGGGTTTTCGCATTCGTTGGGGTTATGCCCATCCCCTGATGGCATTGATGGCAGCGACGTCTCTTTCACAGGTTCATCAGAAGCGGAAATTGGTCCACTAACTCAGCCGACGAACACCGGTAAGTGAATTTGGTATACAAAATTGAGTTTCTAAAAACGTTTAGATAAACAGTACATCAATTCTGTTATCCTGCTAAACAAATTGACTCACAAGTTTTCAATTTTTTTATATTCGCTTCTGTTAACCGGCTAAACAAAATTTTCGACATTCAACATAGCAAATTTTTTTTCAAAAAACGTTTAGATAACATAATTTTTTTTGCGCAGAGATGGATGCGGCACTCGGTTTGGTGTTGGCCACTACGCAACCGTTGGACACTCAACCAAGCGTAAACCAAACTATTGAACCCATGCTGAAGTTGGCAATGGTTTGTGCTACAAAGGGGGAAGGTTCCAGGCAACAAAAAGAGAGGAACGCAGAGACTTCCTCTGAAGGGAGTAGCACTGAAGGTGGGTGTTGAATCCGGTCACGATACTTCGGAAAGACCGCGTACTTTGTAATGGCTTTATTTTGTTTATTTGCATTTCTGTTGGTATGCTAATTTTCTTGTTATCATCTATTCCGTTGTTTAGCGTGTTAACAATCGGGTTTTCCTAGATTTTCAAAATTACTAGGCGGTTAACTGGAAGTTTATGTAATGTAACAAAACTCACCAATGTCGGTTTATGTCAACTATAATGTATTTAGGTGTAATATCCTATTTGTGCTATGTTTTTCTTACATTTGAAGGCAGCTATTTTTATAAATAAGCATATTAACTATAGTAGTCTGATGATGATAAACATTGTTGAGAGTATACTCTTGTTATAAGACTTATATAGCATTGTTAGAACTAAAAGTGTTATTCCAAGAGTTTGAGTATGAAAAATTCAAATAAGGAACATATTAGCATGTTAGCATGATAACAATAACATTGCGCTGCTAGTTAATTCGTTAGCAATGCTAACGAAATGCGTACACATGTTATAAAATTGTTTAACATTTTTTGATGTTAATCTAAAGGAAAACATGCTACGAACATATTTAGCATTCTAAATCGCCAGAACATTAAACATGACTATTGAAGTGACAAAAAAAAAACTGTCTAAACATATATTTTTCAGGTGAAATTGGTGAGTACGATGGTGAGGTTGAAGTAGGAATGATATTCAGAAGTAGGGACGAGTTTAAACAGTACATGGCAGTACACGCGATAAACAAGAAGTTTTGTTTCAGAAGTAGGAAATCAGAACCAGGATTAATGGTTCTTGAGTGCTGTGGGGAGGGTTGCCCTTGGAGAGTATATGCAGTAAAGCTGAAGGATGTAAAAGTATTCGAGGTAAGGAAAGTAATCTCAGAATACACTTGTTCCGTGGACGAACGAGGAGGCTATCAAACACAAGCAACAGCCACAGTTATCGGCGAGCTAATGAGAAGCAAGTTCGGTGGAGCTTGCAACGGACCAAGACCACGGGAAATAAGACAGATGATGCGTGGAGATCATGATGTCAATATATCGTACTGGAAAGCGTGGCGTTCAAGAGACGTGGCCATTGACAAGGTGAAGGGCACCGCGACATCTTCTTATAATCAGCTTCCCGACTATTTGAAGCGGCTAGTTGTTGCGAATCCAGGGACAATAACAAGGCTTTTTACAGAAACAATTGATGGCGCCGCAGAACGTTTCAAGTACATGTTTATAGCATTTGGGGCGTCTATTAAAGGTTATGAGAATATGAGGAAGGTAATTGTGGTTGACGGAACGCATTTGAAGGGAAAATATGCCGGTTGCTTGCTTAAGGCATCTGCACAAGATGGAAACTACCAGATTTTCCCATTAGCTTTTGCAGTTGTTGATAGTGAGAACGACGCGTCATGGGAGTGGTTTTTTCAGCAGATGACATCATTTGTCAGAGGTGGGGAGGGTGTGGTATTTGTTTCTGATAGACACGCATCGATAACAAAAGGCGTTGGCAAGGTACTTTGATCTTTTAAGTTGGTATCCACTTGTCTTGGCATGATAACAATTTCATTACGCTGCTAGTTAATTCGTTTGCATGCTAACATTTCTATGTAACTGACTCGTGCAGGTATTTCCAGCAGCAGGACATTGTATTTGCGTTGTGCACTTAAAGAGGAACATACGTTCAAATTTTAGAGCAAAACACATGGAATATCTCGTAGCAAAGGCAGCGCGCACTTTCAGGATGCAGGACTTCTATAGCATTTTCAACGAGATTAAGAGCATGGATTCAGGTTGCGCAGCGTATCTCCTGGACATAGGACTGAAGCATTGGGCAAGAGCCCATTTTCCGGGTAACCGATACAATATCATGACGAGTAATTTAGCAGAGTCTTGGAATGCCGTTTTGCGTGAAGCAAGAGAATTGCCAATAATACCGTTGATCGACTTCATCCGTACCAAATTAACTGAGTGGTTCGCTACACGTCGGGATGCGGCGAACAAGAATAGAGGAGCAATGACGCCGAAGGTTGCAGGTATGCTAACAAGAAATTTTGAACTAGGTGGGGGCTACCTAGTTACTCTGATAGCGGAAGATGAGTACGAGGTGCGTAACAAGATCGGTGATAGTTTTCATGTTAACCTTGCTAAGAAGGTTTGTAGCTGCTACGAATTTCAGATGCTTGCTATCCCATGCGCCCATGCCGTTGCTGCGGCAATAAAGGGGAAAATTAGCGTAGAGTCCTTGGTTTTACCTGCATACACTGTGGAAGAGCTAAGGGCCGCATATTCAGGAACTGTGCTACCGGTGCCAGACAATAGGGAGGTGACTGACTTGGCTGATGATTTGGATGGCATGAAGTTATACCCTCCAACATCGAGAAGGCCACCTGGTAGGCCAAAGAAACAGAGGTTCCTCTCGAGGGGTGAAAAAATCGTGAGTTACCTAAGCCATGTTAATAGAGTTACATTGTGACTGTTTATGGTTTACCGGTTAATGGTTTATCGGTTTGCAGATGAAGCGGATTCGAAGGAGGACTTTGTGTAGCCGTTGTAGGGGGTTGGGACACAACAAAGCTACATGCAAGGAAGCAATATAAAAAGTTGGAAGAACATGTATGTCGGAGGGAGTTTGATGCGAAGGGAAGGCTGTCCGGAAAGAAGTGGAATCATTTTGGGTCTGGGCTGATGGATTATCTAAAGTTTATGAGCAACAGAAAGAAAATCCCATCATGAAAGGGGTGTAGTATCTATGATGTATCGCATTGTAATCATAAATAAAAACTTCCTCTGTTTATTTTGGGCGTCATAATTTCTAAGCTAACATGACGGTTTTAAGTATTATATGGCTAACAATGAAAAAATATGTGTTTCTACTTGGATGTGGTTAACATTACCAAATAGTAACCATGGATCAAGTAGACCAAAAAGAAATGTTATAATAATTTAATAGGAGAGACATAATAAATGAATCATAATTCTGAACTTATTATTACGTTGACATGATAATATATTTCATGTACATGTTAATATATTTCGTGTAGATGTTATTTGGCTGTCTATCATTTTAAAATATTTTTTGTATAGGCTAATATTTTTCGTGTACATGCGATATGAATGATTAGCATGTATAAAAACTTAGAATAATTCAGCATCCTAACTAACATGGCTGTTTCGAATATTATATGGCTAACAATGAAAGTATGTGTTTCTGATTGGATGTGGTTAGCATTATAAAATAGTAACCGTGGACCAAGTAGACCAAAAAAAATGGTTAAATTAAATTCATAAGAGGGGCATAATAAATGAAACATATTTCTGAACTTATCCTTGCGTGAACATGTTAATATATTGCCTGTACATGCTAATATATTTCGTGTGCATGTAAAAACATGGGGCATTGGGATGGTGGAGAACTATAGTTGGTATTGATGGAGTTCAATTAAAACAGCAAACATAAAGAAAATCTCATCATGTTAATGTATTTGCTAGGCCATGCTAATATATCTCGTGCACATGCTATTTGATTGTCTAGCATGAAAAAAAATTCCAACTCCGCGCTAATATACGGCGTGTATCTGCTATATGAAAGATAAAGCATGAATTGGGATGGTTGCAAAATTATGATTATGATTGATGGAGTTCAAGTAAGACAGCTATATTATGATAGATGTTTGGGAGCCGAAAATTGGCATTGTTAACTGACACTACAACAGAAACATACAAAAACATTGAACCAAAAAAGAAATTTAGCCGGCATTATAACATTAGAGTTGGATCTCCAATGACAACAACAAAAACAAACATTTTATAAAACGCATGGGGTGGGTCTGGATGGTCATCCACTAAATACGACTGACCTATAATATAGTACAACATCCACTACAGCTACCCTTAGCGTACATGTCGATAATGTGCTGACTCTGAACAAGTTGCTTCGCTAAACCACCCACCTCCGTACGCGTTTCAGAAAACTCTTCTTTCAAATCACACAACAACAGCTTAAGGTCCTCAACTTCTTCGACAATACGTTCGTCGGTCCATGTAAAAAGATGATATTTGTCCTAGAACAAAATATAATATTTGAAAAAAAAGTAGAATAAGTTAATCAAAAAAACAAAATTAAATAAATGTTACCCCTTCAGATCCAAGGGGACAACAGCAGAAGAGCCTCCCAGGATTTTTGACGGTGCCGGAAGTCCTGATAACGACTACCTCACCGCATCTACAATGTGTCGGAATCCCCCTGCTTCTTTCTGCTCCGCGATTGCGGCAGCTACTGTTAGCTGGACAATGGAAAATACATTATCAGAGACGGAAAGCATGAGACCAGATTAAGGGGAGTTTTTGATTACCTCCTTGGGACGAGGAGCTGCTCTTCGATAGGTTTGTCATCACTTTTATCTCGAGCGGCGACTAGGTTAAGGTAATACAGCTTCAAATAGGATGAAAAAAGAAATAAATAGGGTTTAAATGGGCCGTAGACCCACAACTTATTATCGGGCCCAATTAAAGGACTGTACAATTCATCAACGCGAAAACGTTATCCGGCTAACGAAATTTATTGCATGTGATAACAATATTACTCTTCGGCTGTTTTCGCAACAACAATATATCGTTGTCCGGCTAACGTAATTTACTATAACTGAAAAACAATGTCAATCTAAAAAATGGGCCAGGGATGAACAAACTAAGTATTGTGCCCAAATCATTGGCTGAACAATTCGTCAAGGCGAAATCGTTATCGGGCTAACTTAAGCGGATGAGGTAATACAGCTTCAATGAGGATGAAAAAAGGAAGTAAATAGGGTCTAAATGGGCCGGAGACCCACATCTTATTATCGGGCCCTATTAAATGACTGTACAATTCATCAACGCGAAATCGTTATCCGGCTAACGAGATTTACTGCAACTGAAAATAATATTACTCTTCGGCTGTTTTCACAACAACAATATATCCTTATCCGGCTAACGTAATTTAGTATAACTGAAAAACAATTTAAATCTTAAAAATGGGCCGGGAATCAACAAACTAAGTATTGGGCCCAATTCATTGACTGAACGATTCGTCAAGTCGGAATCGTTATCGGGCTAACTTAGATTACTGCAAATGAATGGCATTGTAGATCTTGGGCTGTGTGACTATTCGAGTGTATTTAAATCAACAAAATATCGTTATCCGGCTAACGAGATTTACTGCAAATGAAAATAATATTACTCTTCGGCTGCTTTCACATCAACAATATATCGTTATCTGGCTAACGTAATTTGTATAACTGAAAAACAATTTAAATCTTAAAAATGGGCCGGGGATCAACAAACTAAGTATTGGGCCCAATTCATTGACTAAACGATTCGACAAGGCGAAATCGTTATCGGGCTAAATTGGATTACTGCAAATGAAGGACATTGTAGATCTTGGGCTGTTTGACTATTCGACTGTGTTTACATACACAAAATATCGTTATCCGGCTAACGTAATTTACTACAACTAAGAAAGAATGTAAAAACTAAATGTGGGCCGACATCGACAAACTTGGAATTGGGCTCAATTCATTGACTGAACAAATCGTCAACGCGAAAACGTTATCGGGCTAACTAAGTTTAGTGCATATGAAGAACAATGTACATCTTGGGCTGTGTTATTTAGCAAAAGGAAATTAGACAGTGGTAAAAAAAGTGTTTTAGCACGCTTGGTAAAACCACTTGATCATATTTTGCTAATATGTATTTGAGAACAAAGACCATAATAAACACATGCATAAAATCCAAACGAAATCCAAACATGCATAATAAACACATGCATAAAATCCGAGTTAACATGCTGAAACAAAAGGAAAATAACATGACAACATAAGGGAGTTAAGGGGGACACGAACACTACATCACAGGGGGGCTACATTTTCTTCGTACATAAAACCGCAATCCGTTGGACCTCAGTGTCAAGAAATTCCGGAGTGATGCATTTGCATACATCAACACCACCAAAAGCATGATCCTGTATTAGCACAACAGTGGTGACACCAGACTCAAAGAGATTCCTGTTCTGAGGGATGGCTCGTGGCCTATCAATAGAAAGAGGCTTCATCTCTTTGGCTGTGAGCTGTCTTCCGGCTTGCTTAAGAATATAGGGGAACATTTGTGTGATGGGTCGAAGGTCTGATGCCACCATTGTGTCCGTCTTCAAAGATGAGTTGCAGTCAAGCACAATAACCTGAGATAGAGAGACGTCGACACACAGTCCGACCCAATGTTGTTTGTCGAAGTTGAAGGGGAAATAAAATCGACTAACTTCCGTGATGGGGCAGTCACCAGCCAAAAGAGAGCACAAAGCTGCTGGGAACCGGACTTTGTCCTTCTTAACCGCCTTCGAAAACTTGCTAAATGACTTGGAAAGAATTGACAAGAACTTGGTGTCCAGGAAAACAGAATTCTTCGACTGCATGTGATCTGAATTAGCTAGAAACACGGAACGTGTGTGGTGAATGAGGACATCCAACATCTGTCGAAAATCGAAGAGAAAAATTTGAAGCACTGGTATAAAAAAAAATTTAAGTGAGGTTCAAGAGATTGACCTTAGGAGTTAGATGGGAAGACCTATCAACAATTGCAGAGAGATCGCTGGATTGGAGAATTGCGCCACCAATATCTATAACACTGCTAATAAAAAATATTACTTGCGCTGTAGATAGACATTGGCAGGATACTTAATATAATAGCGGAGATAAATTATAAGTTAGCATGCAATACTACTTCACTTACACTTTAGATCCATCCATTAACTCCCGAAGATTCGAAAATTTGGCAGCGTAGTCAATGCTAGGCGTTCTGCAAATCGCGTTAATGTAAGATTCCCAGGCACGAGCGAGAATACCGATGTCACACTGATAATCACCAACAAGGTTCCTTGGCACAAATTTGGTTCTCTTGCTCTTACGGTTAAGTATAGGACCTTCCTCATTGACATCTCCTTCCTGTAATGAATCGTCGTTGTCCTCGTGTGGTACATGGTCGAAATTTTGAGCATTTCCTTTGTTCAGTTGAGTGAGACCAATAGAGAAGGAGGGCTCCTGACAAGGGAGGTCACTTCCAAAGGTTTCCTACATATGAAAGCATGCACAAAGGTAAAACTGAGTTTTTATAGCTCCACACAAAATTAAACAAGGCAAAAAAACCTGATTTGCTTCCTCGACGTCAAGAGGGGGCTCAGTACTTCTTTCAGGCAAGTTAATAGTAGGAAGAACGGCAGGTTCAACCTGTACATTGTAAGAGAAAATGATGAAACACAATGTGTGTATTTTACTATTTGTTGGTTTGCTAAAAAATGCAAATGTATATACGGGAATGATGATTAGCAAGATTAAACAAGTGTGAAAATTGGTTTATTTACCGTGTCTTCCTCTGAAATGTCCCGGTTTAGTAAAGTCTCGTGACCTTCCCCACACCCACCGGCGCCGTGGGACAAGTCGTCTGTCATGTTCTCTTCATTTGACGCCTGAAACAGTGAACAAAGAAGAACTATTACAGAATGACATTTATGGGCAATAAAACTGTTGGACAGCTAACAATTAGAAACAAACTTACTTCACACGTATTGGTTGTCTCCTTGTTGGCAAACCGGAGAGCTTCTTCAATTATGTCGGCCGCAGCACAAGAAGATGTCTGTGCACCAGGACGAGATTCTTTCCCAGTGTTTTCTTGTTCAGCCTGGTCAGTCTGTTGAACGTGAGGGCGGGTGCAAGCATTGGTAATGGAGTCTGTGATTTCCTTTAAGGAACTTCTGAAAAGATCTTCCATCTTTTTCTGAAATTCCTCTTGCGAGTTGCGTAGAGACAGAGAAATGTCTTTTATTTTATCATCCATGTTGGATATATCTGCAGATATCATGTTTGCCACAATGGAAGCTACATACTCTGCATCAATCCCTTCCGTGACAGGTTGTTTCTGACGAGCATTTGCTTCTTTACGATTCTTGTTAGCTTTTATAGCTTCGTCACGCATACGACAAACATCAGATTTGGTCGCACCACCTTTGAAACTTGAATTCGAGAATTCATATCCTTCGCTGACTGCTCTCACCATATTATCAACGAGAACATCTTGCTCGTCGTCACAACCCGCGTCTGCCTCCCAATTGGGTAGTTCAGCACCATCAGATATTATGGAAACAACTCTTACCTATAAGATAAAATCAACCTCAGGAATACAGGGGGAACCAAAAAAAGACACACACAAAAATATTGTTTGGCATGCTAATATATTTGTGAATGTGCTACTGATGATTTGGCTATTGTTAAGCGGCTACTATTTTTTTGTGTATGTGCTCTTAATATGTTTAGCAACGCTAATCAGTAGTGAAGCATGATAAACGAGATCAAACATTAATTGCTAAACGGAGTTACTGAAAAACTAAGAGACGAGAAACGTGAAGAGATATACCTTTCCAGCCGAATCAATGGAACGTATAAGACCTGTGTCTATACTTTTCTTGCCTTCCCTATCAACAACTGCTGATTCCTCCTCGTCTTCTGAGTCTGCTTCTGAACCAGACGAGTCTCCTCCTTTTACAACTCCCAATAGAGAAGGAACGGCTTCTATAAGGACAAGTTGGATTGCCATCACAAAACCTTTAAACGCGATCGTATTCTGTGATAGGGAAACTTCATCTCTCTCTTTGATACTGCTCATCAGCATATCGAAAGATGCACGCCCCCATGGAAAGGTAAGAAACTGATCAAGATCTCTGATCTTCTCCGCCGCAGAATGTAATATACGGGGTCTGTGAGACGTAGGAAGCACTACGGCAGAGAGCAGAGCGAGTAGTGCGTACTTTATCCTCATTCCTCTGTCAGTAACCGTCTTGTTTTTCAGCATTGAGACAACAGAATTCACGGGGACTTCCGTCAACGTGCCGAAAAGCTCTCCCCAGTAAGGCGTCTCCGATAAGAACTTCTTGCTTCTCTTCTTCGTATTCGGTGGATATGGACGACAATTGAGACCGGTTACTAGTGCGAATTCTCTGATCGAGAACCTAATTGGTTTTCCGGCGAATAGAAACCACGCCTCGTACTTCTTACGGATCTTCAAAAGGCGTGAGAACAAGAATCGGCCAACGCGTCCGGAAAATGAAGGTTTCTCGGCGATTTCAAGGAGTTTCCCAAATGAAAATTCTCTTATGAAATTGACTTCTTCTTCTACTAAGGCGTTGATAATCTTTGAGATACATGATGGTTTGTGATAGGGGGTTACCCTAATGCCCATTGGTTCTTCCCCTAACGCAAACATTCTTTCGGGGAATGATGGTATGAGAGGATCGCCGGCGGTA